AATGCGGGTGAAGAGGACCGCTAGCCCACGACGGCTCTAACGTCAGCACCAACCCTTGAAGTCAGGAAAGATCGGTTCACTACTCCCTATGGCTCTGTTCATTACATGACAGCGTAAATTCTCTTAATTTCAAGTACAACGCGAATTGACATTACTATATACCAGGAAAACCTGACTAACATAAAGAAAATACTCTTGTGTATACAATACACACACACACACACACACACACACACACACACTCAAAATCCTGAAATTTAAATCCAAACGCTCCACGAACCCAATTGACCTCCCAATCAAAATATACAAGGAGTTTGCAGTCGAACTTGCCACCCCTCTCTGTTCTATTATTAATGCATCCCTCAGACAAAGCAAATGCCCTAATGAATGGAAAACCGCATTTGTCACCCCCATCCCCAAGGTTACCACCCCACAGTCCCCTAACGACCTCAGGCCAGTTGCCATTACCCCAATACCCAGTCTAATCTGTGAGGACTTTGTTTTTGAGTGGGAATTTGCCAGAATCTATCAATGAATTGATCCACAGCAATTTGGCAATATGAGGACCTCCTCTACATCACACTGCTTAGTGAGCTTTCTAGATTTTCTGCACAGAAACCTGCAGAAACGTAAGACATCACTGGCCGTTGCCCTTGTGACTTCAGGAAGGCCTTTGACCTTGTTGATCACTGCACTGTTATCAACAAGGCCATTGCACTAGGGCTGCCCACCAACCTGGTCTCATGGCTTACTGATTTCTTGAGTGGATGTCGCCAGGCAGTGAGGTATCAGGGCTCGGTCTCCACATTCCAACACCTCACCTGCGGTGTTCCCCAGGGGACCAAGATGGGACCACTGTGCTTCCTCATCCTAATCAACGATGCTCTATCCGACACTCCTCACAGGTGGAAGTACGTGGATGACTGCACTGTGGGGGTTACAATGGACAACACCACACCAGGCTACTCATCGCTACAAGGCACCCTGGACAGGCTACAGGCATGGACTATGGAAAACAAGGTCACCATCAACCACACCAAAACCGTAGTCATGCACATCAATACTGCCACCTCTCCAATGCAAGCCCCAGCAGTCACAGTGGGTGCCCATCCTCTCCAGCTGGTGCAGTCTGCAAAACTCCTGGGTGTAACGATAGACAACAAACTGGACTGGAAGGCCCATGTAAATAACACAGTCAAGGAAGCCTCGTACCCTCTCTACATGCTACGACGACTTAGGTCACTTGGGACACCCACGCCAGAGCTGAGGACTATCTACAACGCCTTTATTCTCCCCAAACTAACGTATGCGTCACCAGCCTGGTCATCTTCTCTCAATTCCACCCAACAACATCAGCTAGAGAAGGTAAAGAAAAGGGCCTGCAGAATCATGCTCGGCTATATCAATGCTCTCTCTCCCCTGGATATGCCATCCCTCAGTGACCTCCACCACCAAGCACTGGAAAGGTTTGGCAGCCAACTAATGCACCACCCTCGTTATCGCCACCTCCTGCCACCGGCAGCCCCCCACCCTTCTCACACAGTCCGCCACTACAACAAAATTAAGCCCATAAGAGCCCGCACCGATAGATATAAGAACAGCACCATCCCATCTAGTGTTAAAATAATAAACATCTCCTGATTTATGTACTGTACAGCCCTGTAATTGTATTCAATGCACATTATATCATTATGTCTAAATCAAATGTAAGTCTGTATATTTTCAGCCACTGGCTGCAACTGTATTAATAAACCGTTTATTATTATTATACACACGCATATATATATATATATATATATATATATATATATATATATATATATATATATATATATATATATATATATATATATATATATATATATATATATATATATATTTCATGTAAATCCACAATGAAAACGTGGATAAGATAAATCTTGATAAAATCACACGGGAAGATGGAAACAACGGAGTACCTTAGCTTTCGTCTTTATTCAAGACATCTTCAGAGGCAACTGGATTACATGGACAGAGAGAGGCTTAAATATACAGGGTGACCTTAAGAACATGAGGTCAGGTCATAATGATGTCATCCACTAATCCCCACACCAACACACACGTAGAGGAGCTTAAGAGAAGGGGGTGACGTGACTATTCAGGTCAGGTCAAAAATAAGGGACCCACAAAATAACTATCATACATCTAGATCAAAGGTTTTCAAAACATTTTTAACCTTGGGCCACTGACAAATAAATTTATGTAACATATTATCAGTTTTGAACTGACCATCACTAAGGTTTATTGATTTTTCTTCCTTAATCAAACTAGCTTCAACCAGAAGTCTTTCTGTGGGAAAAAAGCTTAGAAGCATTTAAATCATCTTGTGTCACAGAACTCTCTAGACCCACTATCCTTACATGTGTTGTTGGTTTCAATCTCACTCTAATATCCAATCAATAGAATATGGATGGTTTCATATGCCACCGTCTTCATGATTTTATTTCAATGGTGCAAGGTTTGCAAGGTACTAACAACCACTACCACCATCATGCAAGGTACTAACAACCACTACCACCAACACCATGCAAGGTACTAACAATCACTACCACCAACACCAAGCAAGGTACTAACAATCACTACCACCAACACCATGCAAGGTACTAACAATCGCTACCACCAACACCATGCAAGGTACTAACAACCACTACCACCAACACCATGCAAGGTACTAACAACCACTACCACCAACACATTGCAAGGTACTAACAACCACTACCACCAACACCATAGGTACTAACAATCACTACCACCACCATCATGCAAGGTACTAACAATCACTACCACCAACACCATGCAAGGTACTAACAGCCACTACCACCAACACCATGTACTAACAACCACTTAGGTACTAACTACCACCAACAATACCAATCACTACCACCACATCATGCAAGGTACTAACAACCACTACCACCAACACCATGCAACTAACCACCAACATCATGCAAGGTACTAACAACCACTAACACCAACGCCATGTACTAACAACCACTACCACCACCTTGCAAGGTTCTGTACCACCAACACCATGCAAGGTAACAATCACTACCACCAACACCGTGCAAGGTACTAACAACCACTACCACCATCATGGTACTAACAACCATGCAAGGTACTAACAACCACTACCACCATCATGTTAACAATCAACCAACATCCAAGGTACTACCACCAACACCATGCAAGGTTCTAACAACCACTACCACCAACACCATGCAAGGTTCTAACAACCACTACCACACAGCCACACCCTATGCAAGGTTCTAACAACCACTACCACCACCATGCAAGGTGCTTACAACCACTACCACCAACACCATGCAAGGTTCTAACAACCACTACCACCAACACCATGCAAGGTACTAACAGCCACTACCACCAACACTATGCAAGGTTCTAACAACCACTACCACCAACACCATGCAAGGTACTAACAACCACTACCACCAACACCATGCAAGGTTCTAACAACCACTACCACCACCATGCAAGGTGCTTACAACCACTACCACCAACATCATGCAAGGTGCTTACAACCACTATCACCACCATGCAAGGTGCTAACAACCACTATCACCACCATGCAAGGTACTAACAATCACTACCACCAACACCATGCAAGGTACCACAAAACAATATCAATAAGCATTACAACTATCAGTCCTGTTAGCATAACTTCCAATTAGTTACCATCCTCAACCCCCCAAAAAACCACTCCAACCAGATTGACCAGCCACATAACCACTCAACCACTCGTTTTTTATCAACCAGAACAAATCACTAAAGTCAAACGTTATAACCAAAGGATTTCGTGATTACAACTATAACCACAATCAACCAATCAGTCTGACACCACCACCACCACCATAAACTACCACAATTATCCAGTCACTCAACTACACAATCAACGGATTAACCAGTTAATCAGGTTAAGAGAGGAAAAAATGTGCCACTAATCTCTCACAGGTGTAGGCCAAAAGAATACGAAAAATGACAATTACCCAGTCCATGTGCACGACCTGTGGTGCTTACTGCTTTTCACTGTAAAATACAACTTTGTTCTCTTAAAATTCCAAGATTATTTGGGAGTGCTTTAATTTTGCCATACGTAAAATTTATGTAACTTTTTTATTGTTATTTTTATCGTCTTCTTTACACATGTGTGCCACGATTGCCCTATTGTGTGTGTGTGTGTGTGGTTACAAATATTCATTAATTTCCCACAGTCCCCTTCAGTTCAATTATACCTAAAACAGCACGTCTTAGTATCTTCGGCTCTAATAATGCAAAACTGAGGGTGGAGCTAAATTGTGTGACGATACAACGTTATCTGCTCGGTAATGTTCGTCGAGTCAAAGAAATGCCAAAGTACATTGTACCACAATGATGTATAGTGTTTACAGGTGCTGGTAGCGTTCCCCTTTCCTAATTTAATATTGTATATAACAAGGGTGTGTCCGGTTACAGGTGCTGGCTTCTTCCTCAGGTAACACTGTGTAACAAGGGTGTGTCCGGTTACAGGTGCTGTCTTCTTCCTCAGGTAACACTGTGTAACAAGGGTGTGTCCGGTTACAGGTGCTGTCTTCTTCCTCAGGTAACACTGTGTAACAAATGTGTTTCAGGCTACAGGTGCTGGCTTCTTCCTCAGGTAACACTGCGTAACAAGGGTGGGTCACTGTGTCAAAAAACAGGTGGTCGACACAGGCGCTAATGTAGTGCCTCTTGGAGCAACTAGCGGTAACAAGAACTAGGTTTGACGGGTTACTCCTCCAGGGAGGTGATCGATAAAGGTGTTAGCACTGTCTCCTGTAAGAAAGTATTGTGTCTCCTCCAGCAGGAAAAGTTGAGTGTCACGAGTAAGTGTTTCAACAGGTGGTCGATGAAGGCATTGGCGTTCCCTATTCTCCCGCAGGTAAGGATGAGACTAATGAAGCTTGACTGGGTGTCTCCTGCCGCAGGTGGCCGGTGCATTAAAGGCGACTGCCCGAGACAGCTGGGTGCTGCCTCCTGTCAGCGTGGCCGCGACGCAGTCCTCAAGTGTTTTTGCCGTAAGAAAGCTGTCCAACGGCGAGGCGTTTGTGTGTTGCCCTAACTCCTGTCGGTGCTACCCCAGCTTCTGTTGATGCTTCTCCAGCTCCTACTGGTGCTGTCCTAGCTTCTACCGGTGCTGCTCTACCTTATGCTGGTGTTGTTGTCGTCCTTAGAGGTGCTGCTTCAAGAGTTAATCTGCATCATGTCAAGCCTCTTAGCGGTGCCTCCTTGCTGCCAGTTGTACGAGCGTGACCTTCGGGTGAGGACGTGTGTGGAATGTTATTTAGAGGGTGATGTTGTTGTGAGTATGAACTGTGGCTGTTGATGTGAGGAGGCGTTTATATACACTCTGTTTGATAGGATGAGGATGGATCTGTTGCTGTGAGGACGTGGTAGATGTGTGTACAGTATAAGATGCATAGTGTTAATAGTACAGCAGGTTAGAGCCACCAGGTGGATGAATCTTGCATTTTGGTACAAAAGTATGGGAATTGGCTCAGGCATAGTCTAAGACTCTAAGGTGTCTATAATAATATATAGATGGGTACCTATCTGTATCCATGAGGTATCTGGTCGCCACCTTGATTTTGAAAATGGATGCTGCTAAATGCTCAAACCTTCGTAATGTTATCCTCCCTTCTATATGACATAGAAACTTGATATTTGTGTCGAATCTTAGGTTTTTGATACAAACAATTTGTTTGTACCTTTGATGTTTTTCTACAATACATTATCCAAGTCAGTTTCCAAAAGAATACTGAGAAAATGATTTTAAAACTATGATTTAATACGATGGTAATATACTCATGCAGCATGTATGCAAAACAGGCAGGTTGTTTAATGTCTCAGCCCAATACACAGATAACCATATCTATATTACTATATCTTGTATGTATGTACGTCGTACAATCGAACATAAACCTAGCTCAAAGATGAGATCACTTCACTGCTGAAAGATACATTAGTGTCTTAATCTGTTTATCACACTTACTGCATACAGCAATTCTAATTTTATTATTAATCTGTACTTGCCCGTTTTCATAAACAAAGATTTGGGCATTGCAGACTAGATTCACGACATTCAAAGCAATGATTACATCTTTTTATACACCCACAATTAATTAACTCATAACATGACATGGCTGCCTCTTCTAATTCAGTCCAAAAGGGTTCAAAGCTGGATTCAGTTGCTTTCCAACCCCAGAGTTACAGACTTGGTAGAGATAGATTTGGCACGAGAGCTTGTGACCATATATGACACGGGTAATAGGTTGCTCGCTTTACATGCTGCAATAAACTGCTTTCGTTGGAGGAATGTTTTCCAGAGTGTGACCATCTTGTGTAAACAGTGCTTTTGTAGCTTCATCAACCTTACCTAGTTCACAAGTATAACTGTACATGACAACAAAGTATTTATGGCAGTTGGGCAAGCCATCAATGCCCACCAAGCAGATTATTTACCATAATTGAGGAAGCTAGTCACTGTGTCACATCCACTCAAAACATGGAATACTATCAAGGCCTTTGATTCATGTCTCCAGGGGTTATAGAAAGAGAAAGGGCTGGCATATACTAGACGTATGACCCACGCTCATAATTTATCCATAGTTCTTCTAAGCCAAGTGAGGTAAAGTGGCTTACAGCATTATAGCGGATACTAGCCTTTATCGGTCCATCTTAACCTGCAAATGGAACCCGGCCCAATAACCACCAGTGACCATCTCCCTATCGTAACCACACTCTCCACGTCGCCAATACAGATCCCTGCCAGGATGAGATACAGCTACAGCCGGTCCAACTGGGAGGAATTCCAAAAGGAGTTAAGCAACCACCAGATCACCCAATTACACAACAAACACACTTCCCAAATAGACAACACACTAGAGATATGGTACGAAAACGTGATCCAGGCAATGGAACACCAAATACCCAAGACCACTCACCGTACATTACCACACCCTCAGTACTCACATCAATCAAGAATTCTAGTCACAATTAAGTAAGTTATTAAAATTAATCATAGAACAAGGGTGGACGCCAGAATACAGAAGACAATATAACACCATACACGAACAACTAAGAAACATGTCCAAAGAAGCATACGTAAGTAATTGGGAGAAACTAATAACAGACACAGAAGCAATTTACCACTATCCGAAAGAATTCTGGAGGAAAATTAAATACCTAATGGGAATCTCCAGCAACGAATCAAACTACATTCTAAACGGCAACCAAATCAAATTAACTGAACCCAAAGAACAAGAACCTGAATTCAGGAAATATTGGAGCAAAATATTTCAAATAAGCCAAGAAGACAACCTGAACTTCTGTATGAACACCGAGCAACAAGTAACCAATCACATGACACACACAACCCACATCTGGCAACCAAGTCCCAGCATAGACATAAACACTCTTGACTATTTTTCCCCACTGATCAAACCAATCACCGCAGAGGAAATACACAAAACAATAAACAGTTTCAAGAACAAGGCTCCGGGCATCAGTAAAATAAACAACCCCACTCAAGTATCAAATTACAGACCAATTTCTCTTCTAGAAACACCGGGAAAAGTCCTAGAACAAATCATTAACCACCGACTGAGAATACACCTCGAACTTGAAGAGAAATACAACCCCAGGCACCACTGATTTAGAAAACACAGAGGAACCCATACGAAAACATAGCAAACGCAATACACAAGAAGGATCAATGTAACGTAGTATTAAGGGACGTAGCAAAAACATTCGACAAGGTCTGGCACTTAGGGCTCAAATACAAAATTACCACCCAAGAACTTCCCAACAACTTTACTTCCTTTCTTTGTAACTTCCTTGACAATAGAGAGGCTCAAATTATCATTGGTAACCACATTGGTCCAAGCATCAAGTTATACAGCGGAGTACCACAGGGAAGTGACCTCTCACCCACACTCTACACAATATACACGGCGGACATACCACCTCCTACACACGGAGAATACATAGCTTATGCTGATGACGTCACCCAAATCATCCGACATCCAGGCAGGGGCAAACAGATGATGGCACGGACAACAGCCCACGCCATCGAGCAAATTAACGAATTTGAAAAACAGTGGAAAATACAAACCAATACACAGAAACTAATGATCATACACATTGCCAAAATAAACCCTGCACCAATCACCGTCAACGAAGGCAAAATTCTGGGACTCACAATAACAAGAACAGGCATAGCAAAACACATAACACAACGCAAAACGCTTGTCCAATCACAACTCACAAAACTACGAAGATTTAGCTAAATGGACACCAAAATTCAACTTCACCTATTCAAAGCACTTGTCCGCCCCCACCTGGAGTATCCACCAATACCACTCAGCATTATCAGCAAAATACAGCCAACTAAAACTTCAATCAGTAGAAAACAAAGCTATCCGTAGAGCATCAAAGCAACTGCCCCCATACACCACCAAAATACAAGAACTTCACGAATTATGCAATATCGGACCACTGAACACACGTACACACAGCCAAGCCCAGAGAATCTGGAGCAAACTTGAAGAGTTGGAGGACCCAATATTCTCCCAGTTAAAAGAAGAAACTACTAAAACACACAGCTGGTGGCCCAAGTGCCTCCATGCTAACATAGAAGAACAAGACCCACTTTACACATATATGTGAACAAATAACACCAGCATCTAACAAACATAAATTAATACCCATTGCACTAATGAATGCCTAGCTATAGCTTAGTCCTCCCTCTCCACCTGCCTCCCTTGAGCGGCCCTCCTGCTATCACCCCCTACTACTTTACTTCCCGTTTCTATGCTTTCCTTCTCTCTCTCTCCTCTCCTCTCCTCTCCCAGGGCAAAGTCATTTACCACTTTACTTCATTATCATCATCATCATCATCATCGGTCCTTGCTGTGCGCAATATATGAGATGAAGAAAATGCAGGTGTCGGCCTCTGCATGTGTGTATGGCTGCAGATTCACTCTAACCTGAGATAACAATGGTGTCCTCTTAGCATTCTGATAAATACTGAAAAGGCTCACCCGTGTTCTAATTACACAACAAAAAAGCTTTCCAATTTGATGGAACGGGAGCACCTCCAACAACCCTTTACTTCAGAACTCCTGTTATCTGCCTTATCCGCTCCTCAGTGTATCGTTTCAAACTGTTTTCAATGTATCAGTCCCATAGAGTATCTACTCTCTCGACTGCTTCAAGGTTGGATTTGATATAGGGGATAAAAGTTTGCAGGGCATAGTCATGAAATGTGCGGCATATTTATCAAGACTGCCCCATTAAATATCTTTGCATCTACACTTGGCGCATATTGTGATGCAGGTCATACAGAATCGGCCATTTTTTTAAACAATCGGGTTACTTAATAGTAACCCGATGTTCGGGATTGATAATCGAGTTTGACGAATCCACTTGTCGGGTTACCAAACAGTAACTCGACATTCGGGATTGCTCTTCGGGCTTGCTGCCCCGAGTGTTTAAAAAATAATGGCCGTATATCTGTAAGAGTGTCAACGATGTCTGACTTTAATCCTTGGTAGAGCTAACACATATCAGATAGTAAAGGGGGAAATGCTTGATTTTCATGCTAGAAAAAGGCATCCAGAACTATTTTTCGTGATTGGCAAGTAATATACAAGCGTGAAAGTAAGTCAAAGTTTGTTTTCAAAAATACCAACAATTGTTTTCCCTTTGCTGTTTTTGTTGTCTTAAGTTAAATAAGCCAATATTGTTCAATGAAATTAAGTCACTGACAGACCTATTTCGTTCACCTGTCAGCCTTTCAGTAACATGGTCTGAAAATTGTTTTATTCCCAACTAATCTAATGTTTGCTTATCCATAAGGAGTTTAGTATTACGTGAATAGAGGTCGCCACTATCTTCAACAAATGAGTAACCCATCTGTTCTATGGATGCTATCAATGACGGGACATATTTAACAAAAGCTTTTTGAATGCTTGTAGACTGTTCATGATGTCTGGTAGACTTTTTTTCTACTGTCTGTAACATATCTGTCTTCATATTCAGACACCAGAAGTGATATCTCAGGACTTGCAAATATCCATCCTTCAAGGACCTGAAGATTTTCCGTTAATCCCACTGCCCCACCATCACCCGTGATGAGGCCATGTCACTGGTCAGTTGTTATAACACAGAGTGCGTTTGCTGACTTTTCAGTGACAAACTTACCGCTCATTAATTCGTCAAAAATATTAGCATGCCTTGTAGGTAGATTGACTATATCACTTACTATATATGCACTAGTAACCGTATAGCATAATTTGTGTGATTAAGGACAAAAAAAAAACACGGGGCTATCTGTAGAAGGATTTTTTTTCTTACCGATCTAATAAACTGTAGAAGCAACTTAGTTCAGGATTCATAGCTGTGACAAAACAACTGTAATCTTTTGTCGAGTTAGTTTTGCTCTATATTTCTATCTTCAGTTCTTCCAGAATCATACTGATAAATGCATTGAGGGAATGAGGTACACCACTGTTTCAACAGTCAGTTTCAAAATTACGAGAGAATAGATGCGGTTTATTTAAACTTCATAGACCTGATGATGAATGAAGCAACAGAAAACTGGTCATATATTGCAGGCAAGTACAGTAGGCCTTTTAGTACCCTGTATTATATGAATTTGGACAATATACAGCCCTCATTTTCAATGAAAATAGTACCTATGGTATTAATAGTGTATAAAATATTGGCCCAATGCTTTTGAAAATCGTGTATTTAAATTTATTGGCCTTGAGAATGGTGCAATAGATACCAAGATCACCGTCCTCAGTGGTCTGGAAGTTGAGACATG